GGCGGGCGGGAGGAGGGTCCCGCGGGCCGCGCGCCGCTCCGGGCTCCCGCACGCCAGCAGCGAGCGGAATTTCCCTTTCTTTACTCTTTTTCAGACCAGCTTTTACTTTGTTTCTTCTCTGGAGATGCAAACGACTCGAGAGCTTTTCTTTAGACGTCAATCGCATACGAGATCTTTATAAGCTCCTGCCCTTGTTTCCTTTGAGCAAAAGGCAGCGCTTCGAGTGCCACAACGCGCACGAAGTGCCTGATCTCAGCCCTCTCATGAAGCCTCTTCCCAGGGAAGTTTGCAAAGCGCTTCCTCAGCGTTCCCTACTGTGCTACCGGAGCGCTTGTTTACACGTTGAATTATGTTTTTGCATCCTTGTGCTGCAGAGAACACAGCATCGGTATTTACAAATTGCTGCATTCTCATTAATTCCCTGTTCAAAACATTAAAACATTAAAAAAAAAAAATCATTAGTGGGAATAGTAGGGGTTAAAGAAATCTATTGTTTTCTCACCAGCCTCCTTAGCTTAAACTAACGCTTTCCTTCACATTTGCATGTGTGTAACAAATACAGCTAATGAGGACTGTGTATATCAATCACTCATATCTCCCTAGCAATCAATCTGTTATTCAAAGGGTCATATTAACCCAGAGGGTTCACACCCAGAAAGGACGTGAAAGTGGTGAAAGTCACACAGGCTGAAATCCATGGGAAAGGGAGGGTGACCCACGACCACGCACGCGACCAAATGAGGAAACATCTGTGTAGCAGAGAGGTAATTAGAGCTAGCATGTTTAGTGAAGAAAGAGAAGGGTGGCTGTGTGATTAATGAAATAATACGGAGGGTTGTGGCAAGCCTAAACAATATATCTAAATCAAAAGCATAGCATCCCAGACATGAAATTACAGTTGTCCATTTTGTGCTGATGCAGTTTGGATAGAGGACGATAATCTAAATAACATCTCTCTCCAGTGGCGGAGCATGCCGTTGTTTTCTCATTTACCATCCACCRGTATTTACGGAGAGAATTCATTCAAATAATGCAAACACATGTTATTTAAGCAATACAGCAATAATAGTACTGTTTGGTCTCATCTGAAAGTCAGAAGTCATTTCAGAGGAGTGGATTCAAAGCTAGTAGCTTCAAGGTAACATAAACCTATATTACCATGTCAGGACACTAAAAGCCCTTTTGGGGCAGAATTTAGAAACGAGGGGTTACAAATGCATGGCTTTAACTGWCATTTTTCACAGACTGTTTAGTCTTTTCCAGTTAAAAATGCTCTCTCTAGTGGGACTTTTGTGTACATATTCAGAGCCAAGCTGCGAGAATACTTAATACTTAATAAGACCTTAATAAAGGCAGCAATAAGAATAGCTAATTTAATTGCYGCAGTTTAGACAGGAGCGCAAACACTAACTCAGCACCAGGGAGATATTCTGGTGGACTGTTTGGTTTTCTTCCATCTCTTTAATTGTGTTCCTGGAATCKGCTGGATAAATTTAATGTTTCTGTACATTTGCTAACATAGTATTTACTCTTTCCAACTGTACATAACATCTGTAACATAACGATACAGGATACTTGGCTGTTTGATCGTGTGCTTTTATTCCAGCACTGTTGTAAGATGTTTTCACATGCTACAGAGMAGACTCAGAGGTCGTAAGTCAAGCGTGTCAGGTGTGGTGGTGRTAAATGCAATACATTTGCTGTTAGCTTTAAGCATAGATTATCTTACGAGGAAAGGTAAAAGAGAGAATTCCCATGGAAATCCTRTTGTTGAAAGGCAATACATACAAGCAAAAATATTATTTATGGAACTGTTGTTCCCAGATAAGCAAATATTCTTCTCTTGGAAATTGGAGGGACCCAAAGAAATACCTATTTCATTTGTAGGGACAGTCCRCAAAGATAGTTTTTTGCTGCAAAACATCTCAGCACTGTTTATTATAAAAATTGTCACATTTGATTTGAGGCCTTGGGTGTTGCTCTGAAACAAAGGACAAGTTTCTAACTTGTGATGGATGGTACCAATCACGGTGCGACTCAGACTGTTCCTATGGTTTCGCACACGATGTGCAGCACAGGGCATGTTCCGAGTTGTATCATGGTGTGTGTGGGTAGGCATTTCTCTTTAGGAACTGGCCCAGAATGGTTTGCAGTTGATTACTACCTTATCTATTTTGGTGTTGCTGATTCTCATTGCTGTCCCCCATTCTCCAAAGGTTTCTGTCCCAGATGTGCTGGGGCTGTTTGCTCCCCTTCTGTTTTATGCGCTGCTCCAACCCAGCGCATCCCCAGCAGAGGATGCCCAGCTCTGGCACTGACGGCACTGTCGGAAAACAGTGCATGAATATGCACTTACCGGCAAGAGAAATCTCATTTAGATAAGGGAATATTCTGTGTAGGACTGCAGAGGCTTTATTTGTTTATTTATTTGTTTCAAATTAGAGCATGCTGCAGACTCTTCCAGCTTGCACTGGCTGGACACAGTCATCGGGGACCGCAATGTTAGCCAGGAATTGCATGCCCCAGTTTATCCGCTCGCCACTGGCTGCAGCCTTTCCAACCTCTGTAGGAAGGGACAGGCGTGGTGCGAGAGTTGCTCTGGCTGGGCCATCTGCACTCCCACCTCCTCGACATCAAAAATCCTTTCATTTTTCTCCCACTCAGATGGTCGCGTGGCCATCAGGCACCTTCGTCTTGAGGCTTCTGCTAACACCAGCCTCTCCGCAGGACKTGCCCAGTGGGCAAGACTTCTCCTTGTTCAAAACAGCTTTTGATTTTCCCCTCTGTTTCTCAGTATCAGGAATTTCTCAAGCTAGGTATAACGTTACAGGCTGTTCTTCTACAGATATTGGAAAGCCAGTCCGAGTTACAGATAGCATTTGGAAAAAGCTATTAACATTGATTATTTTGTAGGCTCTGCAGCTGATAAAACTATTACAGTTCTGTGGGAAACAGAAGCAAAAACAGTTGGATAAACATATAAAAATGTGCAATTATTTTTAACTAGTGGATAAAATACTGTAGAAAAAAATAGTTCTATTCTGCATGACTGTAATTGAGTAAATTTAACTCACGGATGGTTCATTGCTTTGGAATATTTGGCTGTTTGCTTTCAACAGCAGTGGCTGGTGATAACTGAAAATGGGTAATCAAATCTGGCATGCAAAGGTGGTTCATGAGCCTCATTACTGTGATGAGTAAAAACAGATAAGGAGTGACTCAAAATGTGGAAGGCATAAGACTAGCCATCCTATCTAAATTAAATAAATGCAGTTTAGTTTCTAGTGTTATGCACTCACTAGTTGTTTAGCATCTAGTGAAATGATAACTTTTGGCTTCATTCAGTCAACCAAAATGTGTCAATAGTCTAAAAACAGCATCGGCGCTGCTTCTCACGGGAGTGTCAGAAAAACACAAAATGGTTGARGCTGGAAGGCATTTTTAAAGATCATGTAGTCCAACCCCTGGGCTCAAGCAGGGCCACCCAGAGGACATTACTCAGAACCCTGTCCAAGTGGTTTTTGAATATCTCCAGGGAAGGAAACTTCCCCACCTCTCTGGGAGACCTCCTCCAGTGCTCAGTCACCATCACAGTAATAAAGCTTTTCCTGACATTCACATGTGTTTGACTTTATGCCTTTTGTCTCTCATCCCATCGCTGGGCACCATTAAGAAAAATTTGGCCTCATCCTTTTTACACCCTCCCCTCAAATCCCCCTCAGTTTTTATCAATTCATTGGTAAGATCCCCCCTCAGTCTTCCCCAGGCTGAAGAGACCCAGATTCCTCAGCCTTTCCTTATATTAAAGACGCTCAAGACCCTTATCATCTTAGTGACCTTTTCTGGACTGGCTCCAGGAGCTCCATGTCCCTCCGGTATTAGGGAGCGCAGAAGAAGACACAGCACTCTAGATATCACCTCAGTCAGTCTGAGTAGARGGGGAGGATCACCTCCCTCGATCAACTGCCAGCACTCTTCTTAAGGCAGGCTAGGACACTACTGGCCTTCCCTTGGCCAGGGATTGAGGGGAGCCTGACTGGCTCTTGTAGTTTCCTTTCCTTTTTTGAAGACTAGAGTGACAATGGCTCTCTTCCAGTCCTTAGGCATCTCTCCTGTCCTTCATGACCTTTCAGAGATGATTGAGAGTGGCCTAGCAATGACATCCACTAACTCCCTCAGCACTCCCGTGTACATCCCATCAAGGCCCATGGACTTGTGAGCGTCAAGTTTGCTTAAATGATCTCTAGCCCAATCCTCCTTGACCAAGGAAAAGCGTCCCTTTCTCCAGACTTTCTCGCTGGTCTCCAGGGTCAGGGATTCCTGAGGGCTATGTTAATAAAGACTGAAGGTGGCATTTAGTATCTCTGACTTCTCTATATCCTTTGGCACTAGGGCCCCTACCCCATTCAGTAGCAGAGCTACCCATTTCCGATATTTATGTATTAGCTGTAAGAGGCTCTTCTTGCTGTACTTGACATCCCTTGAAAGATTATACTCATAATGGGCCTTGGCCTTCCTAGTCCCATCCCTGCACACACGGGCAACATTCCTGTATTTCCCCCAAGTGGCCTGTATTTCCCCCAAGTGGCCTATATCTAAGCAATTCCTGATTATGTCTGAGTTTTGTCAGGAACTTGCTCATCCATGCAGGTCTCCTGCCTTCTGTGCTTGACTTCTTTCTCATTGGGATGCACCGTTCTCAAGCCTGGAGAAAGTGATCCTTGAATGTTAACCTATTGTTTTGGAATCTGCTTCATTCTAGGGCCCTGGTCCATGGGATTCTTTCAAGAAGTTCCCAGGATCCTGAAGCCCATGGTTGTGATCCTACCCTTCCCCCTGCTTCCTCCTCACATGATCCTGAACTCTACCATCCCAACCTTCACATCTCTAACCAGCCCTTTCTTGTTTGTTAGTAGTAGGCCCTGCAGCACACCTTTCCTTGTTGACTTCCCCATCATCTCTGTCAGAAAGTTATCATCAGTGCTCTCAAAGTTGGTGTTGTTTTGTTCCTCCAGGAGATGCCAGAGTGGGTAAAGTGTCCCTTGAGAGCCAGGGCCTACGATTGTGAGGCTACTTTCAGCTATCTGTAGAGGGCCTCATCTACATCCTCTTCCTGATCAAGKGGCCTGTAGAAAACTCTCGCCACAGCGTAACTAATGTTAGTCTGCTCTTTAATCCTTTCCTGCTCATTCCTGCTCCACACCTAGGCAGAGCTCTGTATGTTTCAGTTGCTCTCTCACAAAAAGGGCAACTCTGCCTCCTCACCACCCTGATCTGTCTTTCCTAAAGAACTTGTCTCCATCCTTGGCAGGATTCCAGTTGTGAGCTATCCCATCATGTCTCTGTAACTGTGATAAGATCACAGCCCTGTGACCACACACTTATTTCTACTTTCTGTTTATTCCTTGATGCTGAATGCACTTATTTACAGGCACTTCAGAGAGTCATCTGAGCATGTTGTTTTCCCCAAGAGGAATGCAAGAGGATTCCCTACAATCTTGTCTTGTAGGTACTTCCTTAGCTGCACGAAATTGCTGGACATATCCCCACTTGAGACCCATTTTGCTTTTTTGGTTTACATAACTATCCTGTTCCCTCCATCTTTTCTAGTTTAAAGCTCTCCTTATGAGGTTGCCCAGCCTGTTGGCAAAGACATGTAGGATGGGTCCCATTACTCGCAATAATTTGTTGATCTTCAAACAGGGTCCTATGGTCATCATCACAAAAAGCCTGTTGCCAGCACCAGCAGTGCAGCTAGTTGTTTACTTGGAGTATCCACCTACTACACCATCTATTACACGCTCACGGGCTCAAGCCTGACCTCAGTGGAGTCACTGCATATTTAGGGATTTAAACAAGGAAAAGTTTCTTATTTTATTCTATTTCTTATTCTTATTGGTCCTGAAGGACCAATGATCAAGCCAGCCTTGAGAATGAAATACTCCCATTCTACCACCTGACAGGCACAGACAGCCACCCTCAGTCTGTGTACAGGCACCTTTACATAAGCAGAAGAAGAACAAACAAACAAAAATGATCAGGAAAAGGGAACAGTATAGAATGTGGCAACAATTAATCTGTTTTCATCTTTTCCTTTATACCTATTTCAGCCTCACTTGAACAGTGACCTAAAGCAACAATATTTTCTTGCACTCTTCAGTTGTGAAAGTCTCGAAGAATATGAATTCTTCTCAGAAGCAGAGGAACACCACGGATAAATGGGAAGTATAGGTCTGTCCCGGAAAGACAGGCAGCAGAGACCAGCTGAACTTGCTAAAATCATATATTTGGTGTTTGTGCTGTTCCAGAAACAAGCAACCAGCTGTCTGAGCTGGTAATGAACCAGATCGCATGTTTATGTAAGCACGCAGGCCATTTTGAAATCATTTTCTCTAGCGCTTTGTTCTTTTTTCTAATAAGCCAACTTGTTTATCACTATAGCAACCAGCTACGGATTCCTGGAAAGAAGAGCTGCAAATGCCATTTGGACCTCTCTGGTCAAAGCAAGGCAGTTGGTACGAGCAAGGTGTCATACCTGCCTGCCAGAAGTCTGAAATGCTACGCAAGGACAGCATGGGGTTAGACAGGTTTTGACATGGTGCAAGGGGGACGATCAGAGTAAACAGGGAAATCCACAGCTGTGATGGAAGCCATCGCAAATACAAATACTATTTGAATTGCAAACAAGTGTGTTATACAAAAGAAAAAAATGTATTTGAAACACAGAGCCTCAACTCTGAAGGGATTCATTTATTCCTATGTGCCACAGGCTTCAGCAATCATAGCTGGAAGAGGTGGGAAATGTATCCAGCAAGTATCTGCCCAGGGTTGTCCTCCAGATGCTGGTTTGAGCAGAAATAAAGGGTCTCATTAATGATCTGCTGGCAGCAAACATCCCTGAAAACGATTTCAGCAGGTRTCCCACTGATGCTCAGCCTCGTTCTAGAGGACATCTCACAGGTGCAGCATTTACTCAAGTGGCAAAGGTGTGTGGGGTGGAATGAAAGTTGGATCTATGGAGAGAGCCTGCAGGYGTACCATAACTGCACAGAAGAGAAAGGGTTTGTTTGCTTTTCAACCTAGAAAACTGCACACACAAGACCTATATTACAAGGATATTAGCAAAAATGCAAAATCCAGCATTTGGAGAGAGGAAATAATAGAATTAAGGTTGCCAGCTCTCCTTAAACACTTGCATGGTGATTCAGCATTTGTAATTTTTCTGTTCTTTGAAATGTATCTTTTCAGATAATATTAAGAGAATCATCCTCACATTGTTCAGCTAGCCCTCACCCATATTCATATAACTAATTTCAGATGTCACTGGACTCTCCTTGAGTCCTGGTTCCTGGCCAGTTTGCTTATATTTTGAGTGGGCCTTGGATATGCTAAAAATGTAAGTTAAAAGCAAGATGAAAAATGTTCAGAATGAAAAAAGTCTACTTGACCCTTGGTCCTGATACTGACAGAGCGGAATGTGTTATTCAGTGTTTTGTTGGTATTGTAATGTTGTATTAATGAGGTAATGTTGCTGTAGCCCTAGTGTCCTAGCTTATGTGAGGCAAGCTTATTAAAAATAGTAACTTCTGGTAAACTAACTGATACAGTAAAAAGGAACACACACAMACAAACAAACARACAAACAAGCAGACTGGCTTTCCTCCATACAAGCTTTTTGGGGGGGCCTGAAACCACAGTGCTGAACTAAGGCACTGCAAACTTACTGAAATCCCGTTAGACAAGGAACAGCTCCAGGTTACTACCAGTCGTTTCTCATAATGAAAATGTTTTCTTTCACCACACAGTGATTTT